TGCATTCGGGACCACATGATACGATCCTGTCTTTTTGTTGAAATACAGCACAATATAGACAACCTAGTGATTTACTGTCAATGTCAAGCATGGAGGCATTTGCTATAAAGGGCAACAGTAGTTCCTTTTGGAAAAGATGCTGCTTACAACGCTGACTTATTGAGTAACTAAGTGAAAAAAGCAATTAGGCTCTTTTTTTGAGTCATTTCTTTATCTGCAGGGAACACAAACAGATGCAGCGAAATGGAAATAATGTCTCTAAGTGAGTGAGAAAACTAAAAATAGAACATGGTGGACTTTCAATGACTGGAGGCTCAGAGTCATCACAGCACATCGACTCACAGCAATATTAATCGAAACAGCTCTGAGATCTGTGTTCTCATTGGGGCTGATCCCAGTACAGTCTGTAAGTGTGACTAGTTCTAGATTCCACAGGTTCCTCTTTGTTGAATGAAGAAACAAAGCAATTTAACGCTATTATGGAGGAAAAATGCCTGCCACGGCATACAAAGAGTTGTCTGCTACATAATTGCCATTTTTGGTCTCGTTCAGCTTCCCACCTCAGCCTGTGGTTCCCATAACTAACGCCCCTATAATGGTCAGAACAGCCTGCTGTAATGACCTATAAATGGCACTGAGGAAAACAAAGATGAGGTCAGTAACTTAAAACATCTAATAACACTGCACAATGATAATAAAGAGCTTAAGCTGCTATATAAATTTAGAGGTTTACCCGACAAGCAGCTGTGTTTTGAATAATTACAGGGATACTTAACCCATTAATTCCCTTTTTTCCCCTCAGAAAATAACTTAATTACAGTTATTTGCATATCATAATATGAACAAAAAGTGCATTTTAATTGCAAATTTAAAGTGTATTTTTTTTCCCACATAAAAAAACACTTTAACAGTCATATCACCCTGCAGCCCAAGACTGGTCACCCACTGAAGAAGCTAAGCAGGGATGAGCCTGGTCAGTACCTGGATGGGAGACCTATTGGGAAAAACTAGGTTGCTGTTGGAAGAGGTGTTAGTGAGGCCAGTAGGAGGTGCTCACCCTGTGGTCTGTGTGGGTCCTAACGCCCCAGTATAGTGACAGGGACACTATACTGTTAAAAAGCACCATCTTTCGGATGAGACGTTAAACCGAGGTCCTGACTCTCTGTGGTCATTAATAAAATCCCATGCCACTTCTCGTAAAAGAGTAGGGGTGTAACCCCAGTGTCCTGGTCAAATTCCCTCCACTGGTCCTTGTCAATCATGGCCCTAATAATCCCCATCCACTTGATTGGCTCCTTCAAGCGCACTGGCGCTGTTGTACTGTGGCTGCGGTCGCATCATCCAGGTAGATGCTGCATATTGGTGGTGGTTGAGGAGAGATCCCCCCCCATATGATTGTAAAGCACTTTGGGTGTACAGCGATACACAAAAACTCTATATAAATGCCTCATTCATTCATTCATTCATTCATATATCACAGTATTGTTATCGTGGGCACTTCAAAATACAGAGAATAATTATTTATTACAAATTATTCAGAATTTTGAATGCGTTTTAAGAATAATTTTCCCATTAACTGGTCACAATGCACAACACCGCTGTATGCTGCATCACATACGCATGTGCACTCAGATGTAAAAAAGCACGGATGAGAAGCGCATGGTGGAAGCGCGAGAGAGACACTCTGGATGAAAGCGCACATTCACTCTCTGACAGCAGATGGCACTGAACAGCAGAAATGCAGACCGGAAACCCCAAATTTAAACTAAATTATTTAAACAGCCATTCAGATTTTTGTATTTGCTATAGTGTTAATCACAGCATCAAATACTTAAATATTTAGACTTAATAGGCTATTTATTTTCAAACTATTTTACATTTTAATCTGGACTACAACCACTGATCATTATATATAGATCAGTGACTACAACACGCCCTAAATATTGTTTGAAAGCGTTTTGATTCTTTATTGTTCGGTCACTTTACATTAGGGCTTCATTAGTTGACAATAGTTAACAAACTGCCATTCATTAATCTAAGGTTATTCCAATATTTAATAACACATTCTTAAAATCAAAAGTTGCAACTGTGTTATTTAATTAGCTAACATGAACTAAGTGTTGTATTTTTTAACAAAGATTAATAACTTCTGTTGTAGGTATTGCTCATTGTGAATGTTAATGCATTAACTAAGGTTAAAGGCAGAGTGAGGGATTTCTGGTAGCCAATGTTTATATTTGAAATCACCAAAACAAACACGCCCCTACCCCAAAAGGGTCTTGCCCCTATTCTGATAGCTCCGCCCCACATATACGTACGCAACCCAGGCAACGATTAGTTCTGTGAAACAAAGCAAAACCAATGTTACACCGAGTCTCAACGGACGTGAGCGGCGCGGTGCAACAAATCTATTTATGTTCTATTTATGACGTGCTGACACACATTTCAAATGGTTTTCAACAGTCGTTTGATCGCGTCCAGTGTAGGCAGACTTTAGCTGTTGTAGACACGGTGTTACTCACTTATTGAGAAGAAACAAAGCAACCTCGGCGTCCGATCGCAGGCCTCCGCTCCTTGAGTTCTCTCCAGCGCTGGAAAACTGATCCGATATTTACACGGGTCCTACTTCTTGCCTTATCATTCCGCAGACGTTTTCCTCTTTTGTTTTTTATCCGCCATCTCTATCTTTCTGTCGCTGGCTCGGCTAATGTCCGTCCCATGCACTGAACGCGCTCTCCTCCACATCACGAGTAGACACGCCCCTTATTGCTGATTGGCTACAAGTTTGTTTTGCGATTCAGCCCGAATCAGTTTTTAAAGTGTTTCTGAAAAATCACTTACTCTGCCTTTAACTAATGAGATCTTATTGTAAAGTGATACCGATTGGTCTTTATAATTCTTTTGCACTTTAACCTGTGTAAAATTTTTAAATTTAGCCTATAAATTTGTGTATTGCTTTATAGCAGGCCTATTTAAATGTTCAGTAATTTTTGTTATAAAAAATGATTAAACCTGTTATACTGTATTATGATAACACTTCTGGCATGAAATTCTAGATGGCGCAGTCTGATAGGTTCTAGGTCTTAGGTGATAGAACTCAATCTGACCTAATGACATCATTATCACATGGCACAGCTGATTGGTTCTCTCCTGTATCGGTAGCCAATGAGCTCGCTGCTCAACATTCAAATATATGACTAGTGCTTGCCGTAGCAGTTGCAGCTTGCTTCAGAAACCCTCCACCTTCCCCAGCTCCACCTGTATAGATCTGCTACGAGGTGATTCATGTATGCTATATGGGGGTTATTTCATGTGTTATATTTGCAGCAGCAATATTTCTTACATGCTCACAGCAGCATGTTGTGGATGTATTGGCAGTAGCAAGTCTCAGTACTTGCTCTGTCGCAGCAGCAGCAGCAACAGCAGCGTAGCAGATCTATTCCGCCAAGACCAAATACATTAACATTGTCATGTACGTTACCATGCCAATTCCTCCGAGTTGTCATGACAGAACTACATTTCAACATCGTGATAATACCGTATACCGTGATAAAAGCATTAGCAATTAATCGCAACATGAAAATTTGATACCGGCATACCCCTAGAATGAACAGTGGAAGACCCTTTTGCAAATTTAGTTGCCTGCTGGCTTAAATTAATAAAAGTAGGCTTATGCTTAACCTTTTAATGGTTACTAACTTAAACCATTTTTTTTAGCAAAAAGATGTAATTCAACATTCTATCTGAAAAATAACACCAACATTTATATATAGTACTCAAGCACCTTTCCCAAAGATATGACCTTAGTATTTACCTGCTAGCTATTCAGACATCACACAACTGAAAGCTCGGTTCTAGATGGGGCTGAGCAAAAAATCTAATGCGATTTTCATGCGCATCTCGTCAGTAAAGCCACTCCTGTGATTAGAAGTAGTTTCAGTTCTTCGAAGTAGTTCACTGACAAGTCACACAAAATCGCGTTCAAAATCGGCAATGAATCACCTGCGATTTTGTGTAGCTTGTCAGTGAACTACGGCTCTGTGTAGTAAATGCCACTCCATCTGAATGCACGTGCTGGAGATTTACTACTAATCACAGGAGCGCCTTCACTGACGAGATGCGCATGGAAATCGCATTTGATTTTTTGCACAGCCCTAGTTCTAGATAGGACAAATGTAGATTGATAAACAAAGAAAAAGCTAAAAATTATTTGCCAATTTCTGGTAAATGCTACTATGCAATCAACATAAATGATCACTCAGCTTAAAGGCTAAAGAAAATGATGCTCAACATCCACAATACCCATAAGATCAAAATAGAAACCATTTAATGTCAATTAATTAATTAATGCCAATGTTTGATTTAATAGCAACTGGAGAAAATATTCGCATCTATAGTTGTAATCAAACTAGTTAAGCACAAAATGTTAATTGCATTATGCCAAAAATACAACTGACAAAACAGTGGGGTACAAAAGCCTGAGACCACTAGTGAAAATGATTTCGCAACATTTTCTAACAGTAATAATAGTACTAAATAATAAAGTTATACATTAACTGACATTTGATTAACAACCTAGACTCTTACATACTCTGGGTAATTCTACATTCTATCTGAAAAATAACACCAAAGTGTACAATGATCCTACCGTTCACCTCCTAGCTACTTGTACATTTCACAACTGCAAGTTCAGTTCTATCTAGGATAAATGTAGACCAATGAACAATGAAAAAGCTAAAATAATTTGCCAATTACTGGTAAATGCCACAATACAGTCAAAACAAATAGTCAATCTGCTTAAGGGCTAAATAAAACATCCATAAAAACAATAAAATCAAAATAGAAACCATGCCATTTCAACTTCAGTAAATAAATGAATGGCACTGTTTGATTCAACTGCAAATTCTAATCGGAAGAAATATCTGCGTCTAGTCCCCACACAGATGAAAACAATGATCTATAAAAAGATGCCCATCAAAGGACACATCCGAGTGTGTTACCTTAGCGACAAGCATCTGTTGCTGGACCTCAATTTGCTGCTGCTGACGAGTGGCCATCTCCTGTAGCTCTGAGAGAGTGAGCTCCACACGAGGGTTTCCCACCTACACACGGGGAGAGAGAGAGAGAAAGAGAGAGAGGAAAAAAAAGAAAGGAAGGGCAGTCAGGCCAAAAACAAAATATATGCACACAAACAAGGATTCAAAGATGACTGGTTTAATTCCACAGCCATAAATTACACAGAAGACTGTGAGAAACAGACATAAGCATGTATCTGCAGGGCTCATTGTAGTGAGAACTGGGTATGAAATGACCTGTGGCCAAGTAAACACTCAGAGCTTGATTATAGCAGGAGTGCCAATGTTAGTGTAGACCTGCTAAGCTCATCGGGAAGAGAAATGGTGACACTTTTAGCCAAAAGGGTCTAAAACAGGGCTGTGTCGGCGATCCATCCCAGAATCCCACTCTGTCACTCTGCATTCTGAAAGATAAGAGCAAGTTGTCCGTCTCCGCAGCTGTCGCCATAGCAGCAGAGTAGAACTGCCGTGTAGCGAAGATTAAAGGCACCAAAATACTCAGATGGCAATTTCCGTGATAGTCTGGCATTTAGAGCAATCAAGCAGTACTGAGGTCGATTCAAGGCGGCATGGTACATGATGTGAACATGGAATATAAAACACAGTTCTGAAAAAAAAAAAAAAAAGCTGTGTAGGATGACTCACTCAAACCTGAAGCAGAACACCATTTACAACCTGGTTCATGCTGTGCAAAAGTTCCCTTGAGATTCAAATCTTCAATTGTCTGTGGCAATATAGCAATGCTTCCATTTCCAAAAAAGCCAGCAATCTGTTTTGTCTCTGGGCTGTCCTAAGCAAAAGCCATACAAGTGCACTCACACACTGTTTAAGGTTGAAGCTGGGCCAGTCATTAAGGTTATGTAAGGACTAAGGGCAATCAGACATAAGTTGGAGTCAAATACGTTCATCAGTTTTGCCAGTATGTTAACTACAACATGTCAAAATTACACATTTGCTGGCATTTAATTAGCAACCTAAAAACTTAAATATTTCAAGTTTTAGAATTACACTTTTTCAAAATTTAATTCCAATAATTTATCAATTTAAAAAAAAAAACACTGTGCACTACTTTTCAAAAGTTTAGGGTAAGATTTTCTGTTAATGTTTTTTGATATTTTCTTATGCTCACCACGGCTGCATTTATTCGATCAAAAATACAAAACATAAGATTGCTTTTTTATTTTTAAGATAAAAAAAATACACAAGATTGTGAAAATTTATTTTTATTTTACAATGTAATTTATTCCTGTGATGCAAAGCTGAATTTAAGGCAATATTACGCCAGTCTCCATTGTCACATGATCCTCAGAAATCATTCTAATATGCTGATTTGGTACTCAAGAATTTTTTTTTTTTTTTTGCGCTGCTTAATATTTTTGTTGGAAACCTCGCTACCTTTTTTTCTGAATCCTTTGATGAACAGAATGTTTAACAGAAGAGCAGCTTTTCTGACAAAATTTGCCACCCACATCGATGCATCATGGAACAGAATTCAATGGCAATCTATCAGCATTAACATTAACATGCATGAGCGCACAGCATGAGAAAGATACTGTGGTGATGTTTGTGGCGTGGTATTGCCAGGTCACCTACAGCCTATGGCTACATCTATTCTTATCCAAGTTAATACCATGGTCTATTTCCATAATTCATGGGTAGTATTTTTTCCACCATGATGTGATGGTTGAAAACATGTCTGTAATGATCTCATAGTCCATCAATGCTCATGTCTCACAATTTCTTGTGTTTGTTGATCTCTAATTCTCTATGCTTTAAATCGCTACATGTGAAAATTGCCTCCTAAATCACCCGTGTTGTTACAGTCCCATATAATTACAAAATATATTAAGAGAGGTTTTAGCTGCAGGAGGTTAGAAAAAGGCAAAAAAATAAGGTGCAAATACAGTAATATTTGACATCATACAAAACAGTTTTCTGTCAAGCTCACCTGCTTTTTTGTACACAGAACCATGTTACTACATAACAGACATAATACCATGTACAAACAACAGAAATTATTATTATTATTAATAATAATAATAATATTTTTTTGAAAGAAATTAACGCTTTTGTTCAGCAAGGACAAAAATTATTCAAAAGAGACAGTAAAGACATTTATAAATGTTACAATTTATTTAAAAAAAAAATTAATTTTGAACTTTGCATTCATTGAAGAATTCTGAAAAAAATTGCATCGTTTGCATAAAAATATCAAGATGATATTAATATTTTCAACATTGATAATAACAATAAATGTTTCGGATTTCTGAAGGACTGAAGGATCGTGTGACACTGAAGACTAAAGTAATAGTTGTTGAAAATTCAGCTTTGCTATTACAGGAATAAATTACATTTTAATATATAATCAAATAGAAAACAGTCATTTTAAATTGTAATATTGTTTTACTGTTTTTGACCAAATAATAATGCTTACATATTTAATAAAAAAAATACATTTGAATGGTAATACATATATTGATATTTGTCTAATTATTTTGCCACATTTACCTTTGGCTTTCTAATTACATGAGTTTTAATCTCATAAGCAAGTGATACTGTTTTTGTTCACAAATAAAAAGTCAAACAACAATCAAAAAGAGCTGAAGAGGTTACTGTGTCACTGGAAGTGTTCTTCAAGTTCAAAGAGATTGTGCTTGTGCTCTGTGTCAATACAAAACTGTCCCTTCCATTCAATTAATTATTAGCGATTGCGGAGAAAAAAAAGTGGGCTTTGCCTGAAGCAGAAGGCCCAATCAGGTCTGGATCAAATCAACTGTCTTTTCAAATCAGGGTGAGAGATTGAACTTTTTCCCCACTACCATCGCTTTTCTTGAGACTAAAACAGGCTATATGTCAGATAGACCAAACAACATTATAAACGCCGGTTACGCCTATAGCTCAAATGTGTCTGAAGACACCGGCTTAGAAACAACATTTCAGTAAATGATCAACTTTGAAACCACTTTGTAAGCTCAACACTTACCTGTTTTTTAGTTCTGTTTCCCTCAGCACAAAATACTCCGTAACGCTTGATCAATAACGCTTTTTGTGCAGTTCCCATAAGCACGAGCTCCATGGCAGATCTCCAAATTTCATTAAAGTTAAAATGACTTGACTCAGTTTGCTAGGGAATGATTCATGGCTTAAAGGCCAATTGTGTCAGGCTCTGTTTACCCACACAGGCGACTCTGTATGGACACATCACATGGGTTGTAAAGAGCCCATCTCCATGGCAATGTGGCACAAGGAGCGACATACAACAAAGCGAAAATGCAAACGGCAATGCAAGATTTGCAATTGCATTTGGATTGTCACAATTTATGCGCCCACATGTGGAAAATGCAATTGAAAACACAATTTGCAATTCCCTTTGAAAAAATTCCTGAATATTCCTTCCATAGTCAATTAAGTAAAGACTGTTTTTATTTAAAGAGCAGGTTTCATATTTCCTGGGGCCAAGTTGAAGGGAGGTAATTTCTTTTATCTCTGATAAAATTACCACCAAGAGAGCAAGACTGTTTTCTTGCTTTGTAGGTAGGCAGTACAGCAATTTCTGCAAAGCAGTTTATTCCGTAGAAGACAAAGTAAGCAGGTCAGTGGGTAATAGCTTGGACTCTAGGGCCATGTACTATAGACCTTGTGCTACAGAGCTTCCAGACGCTTCAAATCTGGAGTGATGGAAGCCTGGGACAGTCCTATTTCCTAAAAAGCCATTTTAGAGATTTTGTTAACAACCACACGCCAGACTCTCCAAAAGACGCCTGCCTAAAAACATCAGCAATCCTGAAAGTGCAAAATAATTGGGAGGAAAGATTGTTTCTGCAGCACACTTTTTTGCTGTTGCAATGGCTTTTACAAAAATAGGTGTATTTCCCTTTTCAGTGGTGCCTATCATGCAGTAGAGACATTTTATGCGTGCTTTAAAAAAAGTCTGAAAGTAACAGCACTGTTGCGGAGATTTAGACTTTCGTTTTAAGAAATTCTCCATACGCCCCAAACTTGAATTGCAGGACAAACTTTGGCATTAAATACTGCATCTCTGCAGGGCAGCGTTTCCCAATCAAAGCCGCTTTGGATGCAATGTTACATGTTTCCAAAGCACATTAGCCAAAGCAGGCTGGAGAAATATCAGATGAAAGTTAAGCTCATCTTTTGACAGAAATATGATTTTGATGGTATGGTGCACAACCAAGGAGTTTTATAGCAAGTCAAGCCATATAAGTATCCATCCTTCATCACTTCACAGACTGCACCCCCATGGACAGCATGTTCAGCTGTGACTCTTGGCATGGAGGAAGCACACACATAATCCGCTTTCCTCACTAAGATTTAGACCGGCACACATTTATTGGCACTGGCCTGAAAGCTGTACAAATCTTAAGAGAGGATGTAAAAGACATTCAAACAATGTTATGATAAACTATACATTAGAAAACCAGGACTGTGTTCTTATTTAACTTATTTAAAGCATAAAAATCTGAAGACGTAACTCTACCACGACCACATTATAAAAAGACGTAATCCCCGAAACAGAGCTTCCCACTTGCGCAATATGGAAATATCTGCTAAGTGTGTTACTTATCTTTGTCAACCTGGCAACCATGTGCACGCGCACTCTCTCTCCACTGTGGATAAACGTGCTTGCTTTCTGAAAACACCGGTTTTAGCTTGCAGTTTAGCAATCTCCACTTCAACATTCTATTCTCAGAAAAGTGTAATTCATCAAGTGTTCATTTATGAGAGAGAGAGAGAGAGAGGCTGTGTATGTATCAATTACCACTGTTTTGCGTTTCTCTATTAACAGTGAAGCTGTGGCTTTAAATTCCTTTAGAAATAACGATGTTACCAGCTCCTTGTTGAGAAAGATAATGTAGCTCTTGAGCGATTAAGCCATTTAGATGATAAAATTGCGGGGCAGCGCTAAAAAGTTTGTTCCTGAATGTCTGAGTGCGCGTCAGTGCGTCCGCCACGTGATCTGTATGAGTAACTGAGTGTGTGTGCACGTTAGATACAGAAGACAGCGCATT